ACCGTGGACTGAATATTGTTTTACGTTTGTTTTTTTTTTTATCATTATTATTATCATTATTATTACTATTATTATGTGTTGTTTTTTTTTCTGTTCTGTGTGTTTACTGTTGAGTCATTGGTTTCATAATTTTACATTTTACGGTTTTACGGTTTAAAACTTGTTTTAAGCTTTTGGGTTATTGGATCCATATTCTAACTGTTTTGCGTTTCACTTTTGGGCCATTGGCTCCAACATTTGTTTTGCATCTTCTGACCAAACCTCAGCTTAGAAATTTGACAGAGGAATATCCAAACCGACTGGATTCAAACTCCCTGGAACAGTTTGGCCACAGATTGTCTTTGGAAATGCGCCTTTCTTTGCTGCAGCCCCAAAAAAGGCAGAAAACACTACACATACCAGTGAGTTATGAAGGAAGGTAGATCCATGGGGGTACCATATATATATATATGTATATCTATTTATAATATATGTATATGTATGTAATATGGTCTCAAGATGCTATCAAGTGCCACACGTTTGCGATCTTCCTTCAGTAGCCATGAGCAAAACATGTTTCTGGCCTCACGGGGTTCCTACTATTACACCGTTGTTCCGTCAATGTGCCGTGTGGATACGTACAAATTATGTCTGTCGTCTGTCAAGCAACAGCTGAAACATATATTTCCCCGTTGTTCAGGCCAACTAACTGGTCGCTTGGACCAACCGTTCAGATCTTGGCTGCACTGCCAACAGCCTGCTGAATCCCCCCAATCGCAGCTTGAGGCACTGGGGCTTCGCCATGAGCCCTGGCCAAAAGAGACGGGATGCGTCTGACCTACTACTCCCAAAGTCCCAAATGGGTGTGTCTCTTCTTAGGGTACCCCCTAAGAATGGCCAGCCCAAGAGAACCATCCAACCCAAAAAAAGGGACAAAGTGGAAATGAGGACTCCCCGAATCAAGGACCTTGGCTTCGCTCACACCTGAATCGGTGGAATCGCTCATGTCCGGGATTCGCCAGCCCACGGCCAAACAAAAGCACAATGCACTCCAACAACAACACAACAGTACGGAAAATAACTCAACCAAGGAATACGACAAGAGTAAAACACTAGTCAAGCAACCGAACAACCAAACTTGTGGTTTAAATAGTCCCCTTTCCGTGATACCAAAGCCGGCCGTTCCTATGCCTACTTTGTCCACACTTTCGTGAGGCGACTCCTTGGTATGGTAGAAAATTGCCCCCCCCCCCCCCCCGCCCCAACTTTCCACAAGAGTGAACTGGGAAGAAAGCTACGCTGGCATAGACCAAAAACAAATGCTTTCTGCGCTTAAACAACATACTTTCAAACATTGTCCTTTGGACTCTCCGGACATCAACCCTTGAAGAAACTTGAATTTGTCTAATCTCATGAAGACAACCTGGCCTGAGCCAAAGAATCGGATGATATTCAGAAACTCCGGGACCGAGTGAACAGTCTGACCCCCGTCCCTCGTTTTGCTCAAGAACTCAGAATCTGCAGGCCGCAAAGGCTGCTTGGGAAATCACAGGAGCAAGAGCAAAACGAAACAAAGGGCCTAGTGTTTGAGGGGATTGTAGGAACCATTGTCCAAACCATTGTCGAAACGCCATTCTGAGAATCGGCCAGAGGTTGCCAAGTCCCAGTTTCCGGGCCTTTCAACCAGCTGACTATGCCTGCTGTGCTGCATGGAACCAACTCAAGCCTATGTGTAAGTTCGGCTACACAAACAAACAAACAAGTTTCTACAGGTTTTTGGTGCTGTCTGTCTGTCGTGTACCTTGGTGGACACCCAATTTTCTATAGCCGAACAAGCAAGTGAGTCATAATCAAACCCGGTGTTAAACTGGTCTACCCAGCACCATGTAAAGAATTAAGAAGGCGGCCGCAGCTATTCATGGTTGGGATTGTCCCTTACTAACCTTCATTTGCCCGGGTTTTGATTGCGGCTCAAGTGAGGGAAAGCACAGCTCTCCCGCCTGGTTGAACCCGGTCCGGTGCGCCCGCAAACGAGGCTACGGCCGGCTAAAAGGCAACGGGATCCACACATCCGCCGGCTCACTTCACCAAATTCGGGGGGTGGGGGGGAGACACTCCCTCTAAAAGGCGGCACAAGGCGGCACCAGTGACAACCCTCCAAATGAGTGCGCTTGCTTTTTTCAGTGTCTATATATATATATATATAGAGTTGCCTGCAATCCCAAGATTGGCAGAAAAAGCAATATGAGCAGAAAACAACTTGAAGTACCGACATTGCAAGAAGTAAACTTGCTCCCCTTCCCTGGTGCCAGTGAGTCCCATGTCAGGCTGCAACAAGAGTGCTGCAAGGAGCAAAGAGCCCTTGCCATGTACCTACGGAGCCTGCCGATAATCAGCACATGGGCTGCGAGACACGCTTGCCGAAATGGCCAAGTTTCGTTAAGAGCACTCCAAGAAAAAGAAGAAAGCCCCAAATCGAGGGAGGATTCCAATCAGAAAGCTTGAGAAACTGCACGCTCCAAGAAAACCAAGCGCCAACGGAGAGTCGCGCTGGATCCAAACGATGTTTTTCCGCCTCACGCAGGCACCTTGGCAGCCCGGCAAACATCATCCCAAGGTAGCACTATTGGAGGTTTCTCAAAATCATTTCCGGTTTGAGAGACGAAGGAAGGAACAACATGTGTCGCTTGTTTCCCCTAAACTCCATTTGGTTCCCGTAAACTCTACTTGGCTCCCCTAAACTCCCTCCATCAATCCAGGTGCCATTCTGACAAACCTCACTTGGAAACTTTCGGCCCCCGGCGAGCCGCCAAAAGACCAGCTTCCGGGCATCGCAGGGAGACACCTGCACCTGGCCGAAGAGATTTCCATCGGACCGGCCGCGGCAAAGCACTGGGAACATAGCTAGGTCCTCCAGTAGAGAGCATAGAATAAGGGTAGAGGTTTATTTTCTGTAGTCTGTTTTAGTAGAGGAACCCTCCCAACCAAAAAACAACAGAAAAAGGGCACTACTGGGGGACCTAGACACAGTGGATGGTTGCGAAATCCATGTCGCACCGAAACACCTGGGATAATGATTCCCCTGCAACTGCCTGATTCTTCTGTAGATACCAAAAAACAATGGCTTCCCACGATTCTTAGGCAGTGCGGGATTGCGTCCATCCACAGTACGTGTGTGCGTGCGCGTGCGCGTGCGCGTGGGCGTGGGCGTGTGCGTGTGCGTGTGCGTGTGCGGGTGCGGGTGCGGGCGCGGGCGCGGGCGCGTGTGCGTGTGCGGGTGCGTGTGCGTGTGCGTGTGCGTGTGCGTGTGCGTGTGCGTGTGCGTGTGCGTGTGCGTGTGCGTGTGCGTGCGCGTGTGCGTGTGCGTGCGCGTGGGCGTGGGCGTGCGTGTGCGCGTGGGCGTGCGCGTGGGC